AAAAACAACTGCTGGGCCAGTTTCTAGGTTTTCTATTAGCTTGCTTTTCTGTTTCTCTGAGTCAGTTTCATAATTTGAGGTTGGTTTGATGAAAGAAAGAGGATTAGGAATCAGTTTTAAAATCTCAGCACCGGGCTGGAGAGATCACTCAGCTGTTGAGAACACCCTTGTTGTACAGCTCACAACTGTCTGTACCTCCACTCCAGCTCCAGGGGAATCTATCGTCTCTGGCCTCCTCAGACACCTGCACTTCCATGCACATTCCCATTTGCACAGACCTGCATGAATACAAATAATTAAAAACAAAACAAATCTTTAAATAAGACTCAGCTCCACTCTTTTCTTGATCATCTGGGCACTGCATTCTCTTCCTTTGCACAGCAAACAACTTTAAAACTTGCCCCAAGAACAATGACCTTTTACTTTTCACGATTCTAGGGTTGGCTGCACCTGATCCTGCAGTTCTTGTGTGTGGAACGTTTTGCTTACCTGAGTTTTTGATCTTGGCATAGAGAAGATGGCAACAGTTTGTAGAACATTCTCTTTAAATGATACAGAGCATTAACAGTTATTTCCATGGCACCTGACCCATTGTTAATGCTCAGGAAGTGGGGTTTGTTTTTGTTCTAAGTCCTGCCATGTTCCGCTGTCTTTAATACAAGGTGGCTGGCTAGTGTGTCAGAGTCCCTTGGCTGCTACTTGTTGAACTCATATATTTGGTTTCCTGAGTTTCAAAAGCTTTTGTTAAAATGGATTGCACAGATAGTGATTGCCTGCTGTGTGCCAAGCAGTGTTCTTCTATGTGCTGGAATCACAGCATGGAAACAGAAAGTCCAAGTTCTGTGTCTTCATCGAATGCATAATCTGCTGGAGCATGGGGAAAGGGACAGCGAGCAGACATGTTTATTAGCTGTTGGGAAGTGTTCTAAAAGGACAACCAAGCAGGATCTAGATGGAAAGGCAAATGCCACAGGGTGGTGGAACTTGTTTAAGGTTGTGAGAGGGTCTTTGTAATAGAAATGACCATTAAGCAGAAAGACAAATAAGAGAAGGGAATCAATCAAGCCTTGCTCCTTCTGTCTGGAATCATCTCCTAGGTATCCTTACGTGTAATGGTTTTGAGCAGGTTTGATGTGGTATTTAGGCCAATGTATGTAGTTGGCTCACAGCATGCAGGAGAATGGCAGGAGACAGCAGGTAGCTGAGGCCTGGAGGCAAATGTGAAGCTCTTTCACTGAGATAGGATTCTCCCTGGGACTCTGAGGTGGATGTTGTGGTCTGGTTTGTGTTATTGTCTTGTTGCTAGACTGAGATAGGTGGGAGAGGACAAGGACAGAAGCTGAAACAGGAGCTGTTGACATAATCCAACAAGATGTCAGTCTGCATTAGGACAGTATAGCAGTAAAGGGGAGTCGAGCGGTTGACTTCTGGGTCGGTTTTGATGCTAGTTAGTGAGATTAGCTAGTATTGTGAAAAGTGAAAGAGAAGGGCTGTATTTGACTTTCCTGGCTTGGGGACTGAGAAACTAAAGATAGGGAGAGCTGGAAGGGTAGGAGTGGTTGGAGATCAAGAATTCCTTTTCAGTATGAATTTGAGATGACCAGATGCAAATCTGAGACAGGGTGTGGACTAGATAAAGGGATAAATAGGTAAGCATCCCCTCCCCACCCTCCTGTTTCTTCCCCTTTGCTGCTCCCCTTTCTCCTTCTCTGCTGGACATCAAACACAGGCTCTGCATATGCCAGGCAAGTGCTCTACGCTGAGCTAAGTTCCTCCTCAATCTGTCATTAAAAAATAGTCAAGCAGTGTACACAATTTAGTTCCCAGGACCTGATAAATGGGTACATAAAATGTATGCAATGGAATAGGTACTGTTTAGCAATAAAAAGGGACTATTAAGAATATAGTGCATAAACAAAAGCTAGTTGTGTGACCCATACCTTTAGTGCCAGAATTTAGGAGGCAGAGGCAGATGATCTCTGTGAGTCCCACTACACTCTGGACTACATAGTGAAATCTGAGCTAGCCAGGGCTGCAAAGTCAGACCCTGTTTTTTGTTTTTTTAATATAGTCTAAAGAATGTAGGTGGTTGATTTGTTTCAATCACTCAGGGGAAGTAAATGTGGAAAGGGAAGGTTGATGTTCAAAGTTTGAAGTTGGCCCAAGAATTAATGAAATGGTATGAAGACCTGGTACAGAATGATTGGTTATAGGCATTATGCGTCTGTCCTAAAACTGTGTTGTAATGCTTGCCCAACTCTGGCTCTCTCGAAATGCCTCAGAACAGTGTTATTTAAACAGGGCATGGGAAATAACTTCATAAATCTCTTATTTTATTAATAATTACTTTTTAAACATTTTAAGACATCCTGATGTGGGACTTGTTATATAGTCTAGGCTGGTCTGGAACCGTCTACCTCTGTCTTCCTGCCTCAGCCTCCTGAGTGTGGGGATCGCAGGCCTCTCCCACTGTGCTTGTCTTGTCTGGTTTTTGTCATTGTTTGTTTTGAAAACCTCTCCCACATATACCTCTATCTTAGAGAAGATCTTAGGGTTTAGTAGTTTGATGTTTACTGAGATTAACCATTTCTTTATCTTTTATAAGTTGGTGCTGTGTATCTCTGTTGTCTTTATTCTCTCAAAGTAGGGAAATCATGCAGGTGCACACTTCTGGATTATCCCCAAAAGAAGCACACAGCAGGACTTGCCTTTTAATTTTACTTAGTGATGTCACTGACAGAATCATCACTTTTATACTTAAGAAATTATCTGCTCATTGCCTTAAGCTTCATCAGACCTGAGTTTTGTTCTTATGAGCACTGAACTCTGAAGTAGTGAACATATCAACATTATGCTTGGTTTATCAACATGAAGAAATGAAGATGAGCTATTTATAATGTCTGCTTGTAAAATCACTGTAGTGGGAGCCATTTAAGGATCAGTTTTCCTCCCTTGTATCCCAGGACCTCATGCTTGCTAGGAAAGCTTTCTAGCGTTGTGCCATAGCCATAGCTCAGTACTTTTTGATGAATATGCCTCAAATACAAATTCATAGTTTAGTGGCATTTCCAATGATAGCCTGTGATACCTGTCTGCCAAAGGTATACTTGTTTCCAGACAATTGGACATACTGAGTTCCTAAACCAAGACAACCCTTTCCCTATTAGAGCTAGTAATTGAGCATTCGACTTAAGCAAGTAGGTAAAAATGGAACAGCTACAAAAAAGAGATGTTCCATTAATAGCCATCTTTTCTGAGTGACTGTTACTTCACTGCATTCTTATTTGAAGAATTTCGAGCATTCTCTTCCAGTACTCTATCTACAGTCTACCCGTCCATTCAGAGTTCTGTTCTCTCACTGGGCAAAATTTCCTTTCAGCTTGCCAGTTTCCAGTGTTAAACTGTGTTTTTTTATACCAGTGTTTCAACTTTTAAAAAAAACAGTGCTTGCTTGTAATGAACATCAATACATTTGACTAAAAACACAGGGCAGAAAAAGAAACATCATTTTACATATATGCTTTGTTACCATATAATCTTATCTTTGGAGTTGTGGGCTTCACATTGGACTTCTGAGTACTTAAGAAACAAAACTTCAGTTTTGGTTGGACTGTTCATTGAATTGGTATATTTAATGTATTCTTTGTTTATGTACAATGCACAAATGTACACAGAAGATTGTTTATACAAAAGTGTATTTCCCCAGCTAGTAAAGGAGTTGGAAACAACTTTAGTTATTACAACAAGAATGTATTCTTTTTTTGTTTGTTGTTTGTTTTTCGAGACAGGGTTTCTCTGTGTAGTTTTGGTGCCTGTCCTGGATCTCAATCTGTAGCCCAGGCTGGCCTCGAACTCACAGAGATGCACCTGGCTCTGCCTCCTGAGTGCTGGGATTAAAGGTGTGTGCACCACCATCGCCCGGCAGAATGTATTCTTATATGCATAGCTTTAAAGTTTGGGTTTTTGAGACAGGGTCTCTGTAGCCCAAAGTGACCTGGAACTCTGTATGTAGTTGAGGCTGGCCTGAACTCATTACATTCTTCTGGCCTCAGCCTCCCAAGTAATGGATTACAGGTGTGAGCTACCACACCTGGCTTGAAGTTCATTTTCTATTGCAAGGCCAGCTAGTACAAACCTTGTGTCTCTGTCAAGTTCATCTAGAGTGGAGGTGCTTCACTATGTGGCTTCCCACTTTTAGTGTAGTGATGTACAGAAAATGTTATGCCAGGGTGCATGACTTCAAGGAGACTGGTTTCCAGACACAGCAGGGTTAGTGCTCATGTGAACTCGCAGAGACCCTGACAGCAAGCATAAGTCAGACCAATCCCAGCTTGGAGAAAGGGAAGGGGACATGAAGTCCATTCCCACCCCAGAAGCTGTTTGCAACTGATAGCGGCTGGGAGGGGGAAAGTTTGTTTCTTCCCTGGAGTGACACTGGGTATATCAACCACAAGCCCTGTGTCCAGAGTTGATCAACACAAAACAGACTCCAGGGTTTTTTGTGTGCTTTTTTTTTTTTTTTTTTTTTTTTTTTAGAGAGAGGATTGGGGTGGGTGGATATAATCTGGGAAATGTTAGAGGTGGGAAAAGAATATGATCTAAATATATTGTATGAAAAATTTTGAAAAATAATATATTAAAGAAAACTCATGGCTAAATAGAAATAATTTGTGTTGGACTTGATGATTAAACTTATTACATTTTTATTATTACATCATTATATATTTCATAGTCAGGTATTCTTAAAGGAAACGGCTGCTTCTAGGGCTGTAGGAGGAAAAGAAAAGAACAACCTTAGTCTGGAATGTCTTGTTATGCCAGAGATCTGTGAAAATAGGAGGCCATGGTGAATGAATACACATTGAGGCAGTTCCAAGTATCCAATTCTGGGAAAATTTGTTATCATAATAATTATAGCAATGGATTATAACCCACTGAATATAATAAAGTGAGAATTTAAGTGAAAAGGAACCTAATTTGTTTTTTTTTTTTAATTTCAGAGCTCCAGAGATTATATTGGGGTTGCCATTTTGTGAAGCCATAGACATGTGGTCATTGGGATGTGTGATTGCAGAGTTATTCCTTGGATGGCCACTCTACCCAGGAGCCTTGGAGTATGATCAGGTAACAGAACTGTCGTAGTGATTGGAATTGGTAGAAAGTAAGAGTTATTCATAGTCTTAGAGTAATGCATGATTCTACATGCCCAGAATGTGAACACTTTATGAAGCTGTCTAAACTCAGCATCTTATGGAGTTTGAATTCACTTAATAGAGCATCTGATTTAAAAGCTCTTTTCTAATACTTCAGCAATGCATTACTTACTCTTCTATTGCTGTGATAAAACACGAAGAAGGCAACTTACAGGAGGCTTTAATTTGGGCTTACAGTTCCGGAGAGTTAGAGTCCATGAAGACGGAGCAGAGTCCGCAGGCCGCAGGCCGCAGGTGCAGGTGGCTGCAGCTGAAGCTGAGAGCTCACATCTCAAACCACAGACAGGAAGCAGAATTAGTACAAAATAGCAAGAGTCTTTTGAAACACAAAGCCCACTCCTGTTGACATACTTCCTCCAGCAAGGCCACATGCCTCCCAATCCTCCCCAACAGCCACCAACTGGGCACTAAGTATTCAAATGCTGGAAACTTATGGGGGACATCTCATTCAAATTACCACAATTACAATCTACAGACTTGAAACCAATTTTGTAAAATAATTCATCATCCACTCTATCATATAATATTTAGTTAGTATAGTGTTTAGCTTTTGTTGGTTTGAGGCAGCTTGTCAGTGTGTACTCCAGTCTCACTTGAGCCTTGTGAGCCCCCTGTCTTAGGGCATGCGTCATTTTGCCCAGGCCTGTCTAACAGTTTTCCTTTTTGAGTCAGGGTCTCTCTTTATAGCCTTCACTGTCCTGGAACTCACTGCACAGACCAGGCTGGGCTAACTCACAGAGATCCACCTGCCTCTGCCTCCCAAGAGCTGGGATTAAAGGTGTGCGTCACTCTGCTTGGCCTTAATTCTGAGTTTTATTGTTGATTTTCTATATCAAAAAGGATGTGAGGGGATGAAATGATGACTCAGTGGTTTAAGACATGTTCTGTTCTTTTAGAGGACCTGAGTTTTGTTCCTAGCTCCCACATCAGGTCCTTCACAACTGTCTATAACTCCAGTTCCAGGGGATCCGATACCTACTTCTGCCCTCCATGGGCACCTGTACACACATGAATATGCACACAGTCACATAAATACACATAATTAAAAATAAAACCAATATTTTAAAAAAAGGATGTGAGAAGTAATTAATTGGGATGACTTAAATGTTTCTGAGATGATTCAGTATTAATTATTATTAACACAAGATTATATCATTGACATTAATCTCATCATTTACAGTGACTTTGTACCAGTGACCCTTGCTCTTTTAGATCAGGTTTTCTAAATTGTCTAGTTTGCCTTCTTTACATTCTGGATTCCTCTAAAAGACAGTTTATGTACAAATTTCTATGCATCTTCTCTTATGGTATATTTTTAGTTTTTAGTCACCTTTGGACTTAGATGGAGCTGCTAGACTATTGCTAGTTCTGAAGGATTTGGCAATTTAACCAGAGTCCCATAATTCCAAGCTGCCAAAGCACCTTCACCGGCTAGCTGCTAGAAACGTGCTTGTAGCTTCCTGGGTTAGTTTATGACATATATAGTCCTGTGGAACAGGACACCATCTAGTGGCAGTTCCAAGTTGACTTGCTGGTGTTCTTAGGCAGTTCATGTTAGTACTAACAGAAATTTAAAGGTGAGTTACTGTGCTCCCTCCTTTATATGAAGGAGAGAAAATGGCATCCCCCACCTCCAAATGAATAGACTTATTAGGTTACAATGGTAATTTAAAGACAAAAGCCTGACCCAAACCCGGTTTCTCTAAATCTTGTAATGTTTTTTTTCCTTTAAGACAAAAGAGTAGGGGGGACCAAATCAAACTTGGAACAGGTGTTATCTGGTTTAAAGGAACAATATTTTCAGAGTGTTCTTCCAAAGGAACTGAAGAAAGTCATTATCACAGGGCACCAATAATTGTAGTTTTCAAAATAGTTATTTTTAAAAATACACACATACAAATAAATAGGAGTAGAGATGTGCATCCTTATTTTGTTCTTAATCTTAGGAGTTTTTTTCCCCTTTTGAGATAGAATTTCACGCTATAGCCCAGGATGGCCTGGAATTCACTAGGTGGCCCGTGTGGTTCCCAAACCTAAAGAAATACGTACTCTTGCCTCATCTTCCTGAGTGCTGTGGCTACCCAGTAAAGAGAAGTGTTTTTACAAGAGTTAGTGTTTGATTTTCATAGATTTCATCTGTCTTCTTGGATTGTGGTCACCTAATTTGGGATGTAGTAGTCACTAGTAGAATGTACTTCTCTCTCTTGTCTGTTCCTTTTTCCAGTTATCAGTTGCCTCAATGCATTAGGTACTATTGGGTCCTTTTTCATTTATTTGAAACAGGGTCTCAGGTAGCTTAGAATGACTTCAAGCTTTCTTTGTAGCTGAGGATGACCTTGAACTCCTGGTTTTCCTGGTTCTATCTCACAAGTGCTAAGATTATAGTTGTGTGCCATCATGCTCAACTAAAAACTTGGTGATCTCCCTACCCCCAAAGCTCAGGTTTGAACTGGGTTCTACCACTGAATTATATCCTTAGCCTTGGTATATTATCTTGTTTTGTTTTGTTTTTTTTGGTTTTTCGAGACAGGGTTTCTCTGTGTAGCTTTGCACCTTTCCTGGGACTCACTTGGTAGCCCAGGCTGGCCTCAAACTCACAGAGATCCGCCTGGCTCTGCCTCCCGAGTGCTGGGATTAAAGGCGTGCGCCACCACCGCCCGGCGGTATATTATCTTAAAAGTACAAGCCGGGCGGTGGTGGCGCACGCCTTTAATCCCAGCACTCGGGAGGCAGAGCCAGGCGGATCTCTGTGAGTTCGAGGCCAGCCTGGTCTCCAAAGCGAGTTCCAGGAAAGGCACAAAGCTACACAGAGAAACCCTGTCTCGAAGAAAAAAAAAAAAAAAAAAAAAAAACCAAAAAAAAAAAAAAAACCAAAAAAAAAAAAAAGTACATTATTACTATTTTTTAACCTTACACTGGCAGTGGGCAATAGTAATATTTCTAATTTATTTCCTGAGTACCTTTCTGGCCCAGAAACTATGGTTATAACCCTTCACATTCGTCTCATAACCTCTGTGATATTTACTGTTCTCTGTTTTCAGATAGGGATCTAGATTATAGGAAAGGGCTCAGTGGTCTTGCTGCACTTGTGTGTGTGAGTACAGGAGTTTGGATCCCCAGAGTCCATGAAGTTGGGTAGGCATAATCCCAAATTCAGAAGAATAGGACAGGAGCCGTATCCGCCAACTCTGAGTTCAACTGAGAGGCTCTGCCGCAATGAATGAATGGAGAGCAATTGTGGGAAACATACGACCTTATCCAACCAAGGATAAGGTTTTATACCTGCAAACATAGATGAACATGTACTCCCCCCACACCACACATGCTCCCACACAATGCAGACAAGCATCTATACACCACACCACACCACATCCAGAGACACATGTTCAAAAAACAAAAAGAAAGCGAAACTAACACAGGCAGTCTGCTTTCAGAAGCCATTAGCAGTGGGTCACTTCCACATGCCTAATGGGTAATGATACTCCCAAAAGTAAAAGGGTACAAGCAGACCCACTCTGTCCTCTTGTCCTCTTTCTGTAATGGCTGCCTTCTGGACTCCACTCTCAACCCAATAGCGTCGGTCTAGCACCTGGAGAGGGCTTTTCTCAATCTGCGTTAGGTTTTAAATACCCCAACCAGCCCTGTTGTTCTGTCCTAAGATTTGGGTTCCAGGGAAGGAACAACCCATGTTAGTGTATCATTTTGTCCTGAGATGATAGCATTTTATATCTCTCAGAATTTTTATTGCACCCGCCTCCCAACCCTGAGATATCTGAGGCCACTTCAGCCTTCTGAGTGCTGAGTGTGAGCTATTATGACTGGCAAAATAGTCTTTATTTTTTCTGTTTTGCTTTTAGTAAAAGCTTTAATAACAGAAGTGGTCTTTTGGCTTTTTGAAAAAGGGTCTTTATGTAGTCCTGGCCGTCCTGGAACTTGCTTTATAGACCAGGCTAGACTGGAACTCACAGAAGTCTACCTGCCATTGCCTCCCAAGTGCTGGAATCAAAGACATGCACCACTCTGCCCACTGAATGAACAAAAATTTTAAGTAGAAAGATGGTAGCCATTAGTATGAAATTAAAATGCGGTGGCATATGCATCTAATTCCAACACTCCAGGGGACTGAGGGAGGATGATTGCTTTGAGTTTGAGGCCAGTCTGAGCTACTTAGCAAGACTCTCTCTTAACACCCACCTCCAACTGTACACAAAAGAAAGTAATGAAAGGCCTTTTTAAAAGTGACTATTAAAGAGGCAAGGTTTTGCCGGGCGGTGGTGGCGCACGCCTTTAATCCCAGCACTCGGGAGGCAGAGCCAGGCGGATCTCTGTGAGTTCGAGGCCAGCCTGGGCTACCAAGTGAGTTCCAGGAAAGGCGCAAAGCTACACAGAGAAACCCTGTCTCGAAAAACCAAAAAAAAAAAAAAAAAGAGGCAAGGTTTTTATTTTTATTTTGAGGCTAGAAGATACAGGGTTTCTTTTAATCTGAGAAAAGAGCTAGAAGAGGAAGGAAAAGATGGACGACTTAATAAAGCAGAGTGTCTCAACTGGGAAGAAGGAAGATGGAGGACCCTTCGGTCTGGTTCCAGTCCCCATTTCTAGCCGTGTTTATTTCTTAGAGTGGGAGAACCACTACAAAGGCCCAGTGTGTATCAGGCTCTGTCACTGAGGGTAAGAGGCGGGAAAGGAAACGTTCCTATACCAGAGTGGAAAGCGAGATGGAGAAAGGTCTTGCTGGGAGGATGGGGGTTGCTGGGAAAGACAGCTACTGTTGCTTACTGGCTTGGACGGTAGGTATAATGAACAAGGTGATGTTAGCCAAGAACAGAAGGAAGAGTGCCATGGGACACCAGGGCAGGTGGTGGCAGGAGGCTCTGCGGGGCGGGGCGGGGTTTCAGTGTGTCCTTGGGAGGATGCGTCTAACCTGTCGCGATCTCACATAGGTCACCGAGGCGCTCTGTCTACACTCCCCCTAGAATAGTTCATCTAGGCTATCAACCCAAATTCCTCTCCCTCCTTCCTAGGAAGTTACTGGGTTGGGAATAGCCCAATGGTAGAGCACGTTCCTAGCATGTATGAGGCCATAGGTTCAAAACTCCAGTCTTGTCCCCCTTATCCCCAAAGGTAATTTCATCTCTTAGCTGTTTCTCCTTTAGTAAATCTCCATATTCCAGGCTTTGAACATGCTTTCCTCCCTTGATTTATATAGAACTTTAATATTTTACATTACATTAATAATTTACATGTAACTTTAATATAGATCAAACTTTTCTCAGGCAACTCTTGACTGTAATTGTTTTAGGTATCTTTCCCTGTCTTTCCTTACAGTGTACATTTACTGTGTACTTAAAACACTGCAGATTCCTCAATAAATGTGAATTTATTGAGGGCATAGATAATATCTTTTTCTTCTTAACCTGAGATCTAGTATAGTCACTGATAAAATGTTTGTTTAATGCCTGTCATATGAAAGAATAAATTTTTTTAAAAATTATTTTTCAGATTCGATACATTTCTCAGACTCAAGGTTTACCAGGAGAACAATTGTTAAATGTGGGTACAAAATCCACAAGATTTTTTTGCAGAGAAACAGATATGTCTCATTCTGGTTGGAGATTAAAGGTAAGTCATTAAATATATATATATTTTTAAGTACTATAGGACAGGGTCTGAATCTGTCTACTACCTTTACCAGCTTTTGTTTCTTTTATAGGGTTGAGATAGGTTTCTTAGTTTGGTTTACTGTTGCTGAAATAAACACCATAACCAATAGCAACTTGGAGAGGAAAGGTTTTATTTGGTTTTCACAACCTGATCATAGTCCATCATTGAGGAAAGTCAGAGCAGGAACTCAAACAGAAACCATGGAGGAGTGCTGCTTACTGGCATGTTCCCATCCCCCCCTCCTTCAAATTAAAAAATTGTTTTAGATTTTTAAAATTTTTATGTGTGTTTTGCCTGCATGTATGTATGTATGTATGTATGTATGTATGTATGTATGTATGTATACACATGTGTGCCTGGTGCCTCTAGAGGGTGTCAGAACTTCTGGAACTGGAGTTATAGTTCTTGTGAGCTACTGTGTGGGTTCTGGGAAACAACCTGGATCCCTCTGTGCAAAAGCCTTTCCACGTGCTTCCTTATGTCACCTAGGACCACATGTGCAGGTGCGTGTGGCATTGCACCAGTGAGCTGGGCCCTCCTACAGCAGGATGGCCCCTCCCACATCAGCCATGAATCAAGAAAACGCCCCACAGACTTGCTCATGGGCCATTCTGATGGAGACAGTTTCTCAACTGAGGTTCCCTTTTCCAAGATGACCCTAGCTGTGTCCAATTGACAAACTAACCAGCACAGCAGGGTTTCATGTAGCCCAGTGCGGTCTCCAACTTGATCTTCCTATGTCGGCCTCCTGAATCCACCATTCCTGGCTTCATATTTATTCATTTATTTCTATTATAAAGTACATTTCTGCTTGTTACTCTTTTTGAAACTACTATACTCGGTATTAGACTAAATGTGTCAGGCTTAAAGGCATAGAAATTGGGATATGGCAAGTAATATGTTATTTTCTCTTTGATATATAAGACACTGGAAGAGCATGAGGTAGAGACAGGAATGAAGTCTAAAGAAGCCAGAAAGTACATATTCAACAGTCTGGACGATATAGCGCATGTGAGTATTGCAGTCACCTTGTTAATCTTGTGTGCTGAAGATATCCTGGAGGGCCAAGGATTCAAACACATCACTCATTTTCAAGACAGGGTTTCTCTGTGTAGCCTTGGCTGTCCTAGAACTCACTTTGTAAACCAGGTTGGCCTTGAATTTAGAGATCACCTGCCTCTGCCTTCTGAGTGTGGGGATTAAAGGTGTGTGCCACCACCGCCTGGCTGTCACTCATTTTCTAAATGCTTATTTTTGAAGTGTTTCAAACAGAATTCAAAATTTTCAAACTTTCAAGTTAAATTGTATTTGTCTTTATCAAATTTTAAATTTGCTTTTCTAAAGTTTTTGTTTGTTTTTGTTTTGTCTTCAAGAGGAAAATGAACAGGAAGACTTCTTTTCCTGTCGTCGTAGGAATTGGTCTGTGTTTAGTCAACAACATTTGGGCTGATGAGATGGCTCAGTGGGAAAAAGCATTGGCCATGTAAGCCTGGTGACCTGAGTTCTCTCCCTGGAACACATTTAAAGGGAAGGGAAGAACCTAGTCCATAAAGATGGATGCACGCGCGCACACACACACACACACACACACACACACACACACACACACCACCCCACACACTCAAGACAAACACACACAGAGGCTTACACATACACAGAGATACACACACTCAACACAATTATACACACACACTCACACAGAGATATAGACAAACATTCACACAGACACACTCACTCATTCACAGTAATAATAAAGTAGGTTTTTCTTTTTTCTTTTTTTTTTTTTTTTTTTTTTTTTTGAGACAGGGTTTCTCTGTGTACTCCTGGATGTCCTGGAACTCGCTCTGTAGAGCAGGCTGGCCTCAAACTCAACAGAAATCTTCCTGCCTCTGCCTCCTGAGTGCTGGTATTAAAGGTGTGTGCCACCATCGCCCAACAAGTTTTTTTCTTAGATTTCCCACTTTGAATCCTGTTTGTTACCTTAGAAGATTTTGTAGGTTTTTGAATTTCAGTTCTTTTTGTGTCAAATAACTAGTTGCTTGGAATTTTTTTAAGATGTTAAATTTTAACAAACCCTTCTTTCTATGGCTTATCTTTATTTGATGGCTTGAAACTTTGATATCATAGGTGAACACAGTGATGGATTTGGAAGGAAGTGATCTTTTGGCTGAGAAAGCTGATAGAAGAGAATTTGTTAGTCTGTTGAAGAAAATGTTGCTGATTGATGCAGATTTAAGAATTACTCCAATTGAGACGCTGAACCACCCATTTGTTAACATGAAGCATCTTCTAGATTTCCCTCACAGCAACCAGTATGTCACTTTATAACCTTTCATATTTTTTTTTAAATAATGGTAAGAATATAGAAAATCAGTGTCTTCACTAAACATAAATAAATCAAGTCTAAAGAGATAGAGCTAACCTGGCTGAGGTTGCATAGACTAGTATATGGCAGAGTAGAGTTAGAACACAGTTTGAAAGGCCGGTTCCACTCCTGACCCCAAGTGTCACACTGAAAATGGGAGTGTTCCTACTGGAGCAGTGAGGGTGTGGAGACGCAGGTTGGAGGTCACTCTGAAGTAAGTCCCATTTTTGTTTTTGCTGGCCCTCCCTGGGTCCTGTCCTTTTGAGACCTCTAACTCTATTGTCTGTTTTCCTTATGTATCTTTAGATTTCTTTCTTCTCTTGCTCCTCTGAGTTCTAGAAGGAAAGTGGGGTTTTATGGGTTAGGAAGGCCTTGTCATTCTGAAGGCCTTGTCGACTGCCTTAAGTAAAATTTGTAATGTTTTCGTAGTCTTTCTGGATTGGCAAAGGTAATAGAACCACGTGACATCAGAGCAGAAGAAAAGACTGTTCTGGGGGAGGAATGGACCAGCAAGAGGCGAGTAAGAGGAAGGGGCATGGGAGAGAGCAGGAGGGCAAGGAATAAAAATGAAGCATAACGATTCCTATGTGTGCAAATGCCACAGCGAAACTCATCACTTAAAAGAGTAATAAACACTTCCCCAACTTAAAGCAACTTAACTACTATTTTAAAAACAGTAATGAAAGTCACTATGTGAATGAATCAAAATTCTTTATTGTGAAATGCCCTTGTATTAGTATTTTATAAAACCCAGGTATACTTCCCTTAAACACTGAAGATATTCTGTGGATTTCCATAAATAACCACTTTGAAAATAACATCCTAATGACATTCTTGGTATCATTAATATCATTTGTCTACTAAAATTTAGGACAAATTATATAAAGTAGAGATCATTAAATTATTGTGTACCAATCAAAAAGTGTATAGTACTGCCTTGCTCTCTTAAAAATCTTACCAGCATCATGTATATTTGCTTTAATATTTTTCTTATAGACATTTCTGTTAGAAAAACTATAAGAAATAAAGTGCAATTCATAGAATTTATTCTTTTCCAAATAATTTTTCTTTTGTAGAGTAATCTTAAACTAAACATTTTAAATAACGTTACAATACTTTCCACTTCTTCTTGTGCAGTGTAAAATCCTGTTTTCATATTATGGATATTTGTAAGTCCCACCCAAGTTCATGTGAAACAAATAATCACAGTAAAATGTCACTCTTACGGCCGGTCGCGTCAAACAACACTGCTGCTCTAACGGCAAACCTGACCAAAATCGGGACACTGAGAAACCAGGTGAGAGTTTACAGTTGTTAGTACTCTTGCCTTCTGATTCTCGCTTTGCTTTGAGATGCAGAAGCATCATGTGAGCAGCGGATGCAGTGAGGGTGATCATTTAGTGTGTCTATTCTGTTATAGCTAAACCAAGTAGAATGTACCTTTTGAGTTCATTCTCTCAAACCTTCCTTCTCTGCTGTTAGGACCAAAACTCTATCAAAAATAGAGTTCACTGAACCAAATTTAAGTTGATCAGGCTGCTTTTTGTTTCATTTTCTGGGTTTGTTTTTATTGTGGAATTATGAATGTAAGTGTGGATTTATAGTGTATTCGTAGCGACTGGAAGACTGCCCTATATAATGTGGAGTATATTGATTGTTTCAGGCATTAACCACATCTGCTCACTCAGTTGTGCACCATGGGATACCTCTGCAGGCGGGAACTGCACAGTTTGGTTGTGGTGATGCTTTTCATCAGACCCTGATTATCTGTCCCCCAGCTATTCAAGGTATGTTTTCATTTAGAATATAATTTAGGTGTTTTTCCTTTTTCTTTCTTTCTTTTTTTTTTTTTAAGATAAGTTCTCACTATGTAGCCAGGATGACCTGGCGTTCACCTCACCATCCAGCTGCCTCTGCATCCGGAATGCTAGGATTAAAGTCATGCACCACCACACCCTGGGCTGTGCCACCTGAAAGCAGCAGGTTGACCACGGAGAAGCCTCCAAATCTGTACCCAGCTTTGCCGCAGTGCTGTACAGTTTTAGTGACAGTGATTGATGTCGCATCAGTCACCTGGAAATACACTTGTGATTTTGCTATTTAGAAAGACAATGAGATTTAACCTTTTTTTAGCATTTATAAAGGAAAATAGACTAGAGAGGTGATATTATGGTCATTCCTATTTCTGATTTGTAGATTCAGAAGATTATTTGAAAAATTTAATTTGTCTTAATATTGAGTAATTTCTTAAGTTTATTTTAACATTTCCCACACATAGTTCAACAAAAAACCAAGAATATTTATGTTGAATTAATTGACTAGTAATAGCAGATGGGAAACAATTTTAGCTAGTTATTTTCTCATGTAGCTCTTCTTTCAGTAAGTGTCTATATAGTCATGACTTCTAAAAGACAGATACAGTCTGAGAAATAATGTCACTAGGTGATGTGGTCATTGTGAGCATCAGAGTATACTCGCACAACCTAAGATGGCTGTTAATCAATATATCAACCCCCAACCCCTGCACCCCTTAGATTGAACTCAAGGCATGGTGCACAAATGTTAGGCAGTCTCTCTATCATAACGCTACATCCATAACTCCAATAATGCAATCTTAAGAGGATAGAAATCTTAAGATGTCATTGTTGAGTGGCTGTTCCTACCTGTTGTCACATGCCTGTCACTACAGGAGGTGTTTATAACAACTTTCTCTCTGGTAACAGAAATGCTTATATTATAAGTTGATAGCATTCTTAGAGATACTGTGCATTTGCTTGGTTTTTTGTTTATTTGTTCATTTGTTTTTGAGACAGGATTTCTCTGTGTAGCCCTAGCTATCCCGGAACTTGCTCTGTAGACCAGGCTGACCTCGAACTCAGGCTCCACCTTCCTCTGCCTCCCAAGTGCTGGGACTAAAGACATGTGCCACCACAAGAAACTTGCTTGTTTTTAACTATAAGAATTTCAGGGGTTGGGGATTTAGCTCAGTGGTAGAGCGTTTGCCTAGCAAGCGCAAGGCCCTGGGTTTGGTCCTCAGCTCCAGAAAAGAAAAAAAAAAAAAAAAGCCTGGCAGTGGTGGTGCACGCCTTTAATCCCAGCACTCGGGAGGCAGAGCCAGGCGGATCTCTGTGAGTTCGAGGCCAGCCTGGTCTACTACAGAGTGAGATCCAGGAAAGGCACAAAGCTAGACAGAGAAACCCTCTCTCGAAGAACAAAAACAAAAACAAACAAACAAAAAAAAGAAGTAGGCTTTGGGGTTGGGCATTTAGCTCAGTGGTAGAGCACTTGCCTAGCAAGCACAAGGCCCTGGGTTCAGTCCTCAGCTCCAGAAAATTAAAAAAAAAAAAAAAAAAAAAAGTCAAACAGTCAAAAAATAAAAATAAAAAAATTTCAAGCATGAGAAAGTTGAAAAATACTATGTCTTCCATTTTAGATTCAATGAGTGCTAATATTTTATACTATATGATACTCTTTGTGCATGTACTAGAGAAAGTGAGCGGTATACTTTGACTTCTTGCTTAGATATTCTTATAGTCTACGTTGGCAAGCAGATTTTTTTGGTTCTGACCAGTCTTTTCTCCTGTGTCGAAGCCATGTGAGGGTCACCCACCTGCATTGGAATAGCCGTGTTTTTCAGAGCTTGTCATATATTAATGATGTAAGAGACTTAGGAGATATATTTCAGTGTGATAAGACAAATCTTTTATCTTTTTATTTAACTTAAAATTGTTATGGAATAACTTTGTATACTTGTTAGCAAATATATGAATGGCTTAAATGTAGTGTTTGCCCGAGACATGGTCTTAGCATCTCTAGAAACTCAGTGTTGGTCCTTTTGTTTGTCTCTTTGATTTACTCTTCATTTTGGAGACATCGTCTGATTCTGTAGCCCAGGGCAGCCTTAAGCTTGAAATCATACTGCTTCCACCACACAAGTGCTGGGATTTCAGATGTGTGCCACTACACCCAACTCTTAATCAACCTTTGTACCTAGTTTTCAAGTTTTAAAACAATTCTAATCATTTTTGCTAACTTAACTCTAAAAAATTAAGATCTTAACCAACTATTGATTTTGATCAAAAAGGTGATAGGAAGAGAGGAGATACAGAGAAGTGAGCATTGCTTATGGGGCCACTTGTGGACACAGAAAATAGAGCACATTGACAGTAAACTAAATGTCTGAGGAAAATAAACAGGAAACAATAATGTTTTCTTTATGAGACTAGCACTTAACAATAGAGTTATGAAATAAAAAAATTAGCATTTTTTCAATAGAAAAAAACTAACAACTGCAGCATTTTATTCCTTATGACTAAAGAGAAACACTTAACATCACTTTCACTAAAAAAAAAAAAGAAAGAGAGAAAGAAAGAAAGAAAGAAAGAAAGAAAGAAAGAAAGAAGAAAGAAAATTCTACATTACACAGCCCTGTGCCATTGGGCTGAATTTTAGCTGTTGAGATTACATTGCATAGTGATAGGATCCTATCTTAGTTTGTGTAAGTATACTCTAAACTACTCATATAGCAGACAGATTTGTCCAATGATGCATTTCTTAGAAGGTATCACATCATTAAGTGATGTACCAGTCTATAATGAAATTGATTGCTATAAAGTTTGGAATATGATATAGAGAATTGATTATAAGTTTGTTTGTTTTTTTCCCTGATCTTGGGGCATGTTCCAGAATTTTGTTCTCAAAGCACCCAAATTGGGTGTGACACTGCTTAATACTTAAATTCAGTATTGTAAGAGTAGTTATTACTTTGGGTGATGGTGGCCACACCTGTAATCCCAGCACTCAGGAGACAGAGACTAGAGGATCTGTGAGTTTGAGGCCAGCCTGGTCTACAGAGTGAGTTCCAGGACAGCCAGGGCTACACAGAGAAACCCTGTCTTGAAAAACAAACAACAACAACAACAAAAAGAGTTATTTACAGAGTGGCTTGTGATACAGTGAAAATATTAACAGTGACATAATTAAATGGTCATCAGTCCTTCCTATGTCATTTTATTTATTTATTTTTTGAACCAATTTATAAAAGTGGTAGTTCTGTAGTTCTGTTCTGTAGTGCTAGCAGCTCTCTACCAGGAACGCCAGCCCATCATATAATATGGGGTAAGGCATCGTTGGATCGTCAGATTAGGCAGTAGAGTGGTTTTTGCTACTCCTGTGGAGGCTGAAATATGGTAGCAAGTATATAAATCTATGTGATTCAGAAACCCCCCAGTATCTGTCCATTAATTGTGAAATATACACCCCCTTTTGGTGAGAAGTGTGGGAGGTCCTGGCAGTTTTGAAGAAATGGTGTAGGCATAGGGAAGAGTTTGTGTAAAAGAAGCACATTTCTTTACTAGGTTGTTATGAAGATCTTGAGCCTCATCGCATCTTTCTAGGCCCTGGTCATAGTAGAAAAATGGAGAGGGAAATAAGGCCATAGTAGCAAACTTGAGATGGAAATGAGAAGTTGCAGGAAGAAGAAAGGATTCTGCTTTGAAGCACATTTTAAAAAAAGATGAAGTAATTTAGCATCAGTATTTGAGAAAAAAATATCACAAAACAGATAGGAAACACCCATCTTCACTAATAGATTACTTTGTTATTTTTATGTAGAAACAGGCATAATCTGAATCAGAATTTAAACCTTTCATACATTTAAAGTAATTTTATAAGTTATGCAAGACAGCTTTTTTTCCTAGTGAATGGCTGTTGTCTTTCCCAGGTATCCCTGCAGCGCATGGTAAACCCACCAGTTACTCCATTCGGGTAGACAATACAGTCCCACTTGTGACTCAGGCCCCAGCTGTGCAGCCGCTGCAGATCCGACCTGGAGTCCTGTCACAGGTTGGTCATAGCTGAGTCTTCCTGTCCATGTGTGCTCTCTTTTTCTAACATAAATACAACTCGTGTGTCAGTTCGGACTTCTGGGAAGTAGTGAGAGTGATGTGTGGGGAGGCAGTAATTACTGGTTGTTACCTTAGCTGTTGTGAATTTGGGACATGTTATTTGTACCTTTGTTTTATTGGGTTGTTTTTGGATGCAGCAGACCTGGTCTGGGAGAACACAGCAGATGCTGATTCCTGCCTGGCAGCAGGTAACACCCATGGCCCCTGCTGCTGCAACACTCACTTCAGAAGGATTGGCTGGTTCACAGAGGCTTGGAGACTGGGGGTGAGTCCAAAGCAGAGCGTCCCTGTGAATTATATGCAAAACAGATCACAGTAAAAAGGATTCAGTTTTCTAAACTTGCTCTACAGGAAAATGATTCCACACAGCAGTCATTACAACTCGGTGATGCCACAACCTCTTCTAACCAATCAGATAACATTATCGGCCCCTCAGCCTATCAGCGTGGGCATTGCACATGTTGTCTGGCCCCAGCCTGCCACTCCCAAGAAAAACAAGCTGTGCCAGAACAGGTTGGTATGAGTGTACCTTAACTTTCCTCTGCAGTTTGAAATTAGGCTTTGAGATAAAATTTGCATGTACACTAAAGGGTCACTCTGTTGTGTTCAAAAATGACCTCTTCTGTAGCCTTTATACAAACACTAAGCCGGCTCCCTTCTTAATTTCTCAGAGGTATTTTGGTAAAACTAATGGAATGGGAGCCAGGAAGAGAGGAAATAAATGCTTTCAGTTGGTAAGATTGTCTTTATTGCCCTTTGATTATTATCTACCTGTAATATAGCAACTGTAGACATTCGGATATCACACATACAAAAAAAAAAGTATGTAAATGTAAACTAAAACAATATTTTAGAAATATTTTATAATTCACAAAACTCTTGGTATCAGTGTGTTACATCCATGAACTCATGAAAGTTTGCTTTGTTTGGTTTTACAAAATATCTTCAAGAAATATCATTTCTCTATTTTGATTATAGAGATTACAAATTATTTCTTTGGTTGCAGGAGTAATTCATTGCAGAATACCAATATCCCACATTCAGCATTTATTTCTCCAAAGATAATCAATGGGAAAGATGTTGAGGAAGTAAGTTGTGTAGAAACACAGGACAATCATACCTCAGAAGGAGAGGCACGGAACTGCCAGGAAGCGTCTGTCAGACAGGACACTTCTGTTTCAGACAAACAGCGGCAAACCATCATCATCGCCGACTCCCCAAGTCCTGCCGTGAGTGTGATCACCATTAGCAGTGACACCGATGACGAAGAGACCTCACCCAGACATTCACTCAGAGAGTAAGTGCCGGATGCTCAGCCTTCACAAGTAGTGGTCACCCTCTGAAGTGCACGGATCACTTTTGGGGACATCCTCTCTGTCAGTGTCCGTAATATAATTGTAGCCCTCTATCTGAATTTCTAAGTTTGGGTCCAGGGAGCTCCTTCTGGACTGTTTCCTGCCTTTCGGCACTGTAAAGTTTGGCTGGTTTGAGGATGTCTTCTCACTCTTGACCCACACCTCCCTCCCTCCTCACTAGGTGTAAAGGTAGTCTAGATTGTGAAGCTTGCCAAAGCACTTTGAATATTGATCGGATGTGTTCACTCAGCAGTCCTGATAGCACTCTGAGCACCAGCTCCTCTGGCCGGTCCAGCCCGTCCCCTTGCAAGAGACCGAACAGGTAAAGGAATTTTAATAGTAGCTTGTTGTAAAAGTTGAGTCTGCTAAAAGCCTCATTTTTTCTGTCATGTGTAAGTGAGTGTCTGCCAGACAGTGATTGCTCTTTTTCACACAGGTTTTGAACTACACAGTTTTGCAAGCTTATGGTTTTAGTAATCACTTTTTTTCCCATTAAAATAGCTCCAATTTTTCCATTAAAATAGCTCCAGTTTGTGGTGGCGCACGCCTTTAATCTCAGAATTTGGGAGGCAGAGGCAGGGGATCTCTGTGAGATCAAGGCCTTCCAGGGTTACATAGTGAGACCCTATCTCAAATAAACAAACAAAACCTTTCATTTAAAATTAAAGTACTAGTACATTTTTGCATGAAGTAGCACTAAGTGGCCCACTCACAGAGTAGCCGCTCTGATTTTCTCTCAACCGTTAGTAACTGATTTGTCTGCCTCCTTTGGTATTGCCTTGTGGGGGCATGCAGTGCCTGAAAGAGTGTTTCCTGACCAGCACAATGTGCTAACATATTGAGAGATAAGCCACAACAGTTTTTTTTGCAGGGAGGTGTATTGGAGAGAGGATTTCTCTGTGTAACAGCCCTCGATGTGCTGGCTGTCCTGGAACTCACTCGGTTCACCAGGCTGGCCTCAAACTCACAGAGATCCTCCTGCCTCTGCCTGCCAAGTGCTAGGTTAAAGGTATGAGATCACACTTGGCAGCCATAACAATTTTTATGAAATATTTTGATTTTATATTATAAAAATTGGTGACAATATTTGAAAAGGATTTTAAAGTTAGTGGGGTTTTTTGTTGTTTGTTTGTTTTTTGAGACATGGTTTCTCTATGTAGCCCTGGCTGTCTCGGCACTCACTTTGTAGCCCAGGCTGGCCTCGAACTCAGAGATCCACCTGCTTCTGCCTCCCAAGTGCTGGTACTAAAGGAGTGTGCTACCACACTGGACTTTAAAGTTGTTTGGTACATTTTCCTTCCTTTTAGTCAGGAGCTGTGGTTGGAGTACTTACTAGCCAAAACTCTGCAGAAGACATAAACAGGCTTTAATGAAATGCATCTTCTTATAGGTTGCTTATTGTGTTGCTTAAAGTCGATACATACAAAAATGTACACAAAGCAGCTACATAAAAATACACACATAAAATGGTCATAAACATGGACATACGCATGTAGGTTTAAGAGTAAAAAGAAAGTATACATATAAGAGGAGATGCCTCACATTGTTGAGACTGAAATGAATGATTGAAACAGACAGTGATGTGGAAATCCCAGGGAGTGGGGTCTTATGAGGACTGAGGCGGTGGGAACAGTGGGATTCAGGACTTGGGGTTGAAAGCCTTTTCAGGAGGACACTTAACCTTACAGTTGGTTCTGAAATATGCAAGTCCCTAGTTCATGTGTTTGTACATCTCGTCCAGGTTTTCTAGAACAACATTTTGTTTGTTTCTGTTTTTTATGCTTATGTGTATGTATTTGTGCATGCGTAAACATTTGTGCATGTGCCTCTGGAGACCCGAGGCCAATGCTGGCTGTCTTCTTTAGTTGTTCTCCACCATGTTTTTGGATCTCTTACTGGACCTGGAGCCTCACCTATTTGATCGACTAGCTGGGCAGCAAGCTCCAGGGCTCTTCTGCCTCTGCCTCTGCCTCTGCCTCTGCCTTGCTGTGTGTGCTCAGGTTTTTATGTGGGGCTGGGATCCAAACGCAAGTTCTCATTTTACCAATTGAGATATCTTCCTAGGATCTAGAACAGTACTTCTTATCTTAAAGAATTGTAAAGAAGAAGTTTATGAACTATTATGATGGAGCAAATATGAAGGAAAGGAGAAATAGTTAAGTACCAAAAGGGTATTCCTGAAGTGGAAGAATTTGGTTTATCTGCCTGATTAGACTCTGGAAATACTGTGGGGGAAAAAAATAACATTGGCCAAGGACAAAATATATATAAAATAACTAAGCATGTCATTAGTGTGCTAGAGACTTTTAAAAATATAACCATGTTTTCTTGTAGTATGTCAGATGATGAACAAGAAAGTGGGTGTGAGACTGTGGATGGCTCCCCAACATCAGACTCCTCGGGGCATGACAGTCCATTCGCAGAGAGCAGTTTTGTGGAGGACACTCATCCAAACACAGAGCTGGGGACTTGTGCTGGCACAGAAGCCAAGCCAGCTGTTGGCACTGCTGTGGAGCCACCAGTGGGAATAGAAAGTGGATTGAATGTCGATGAGCACATGGCAAGCACAGGTAAACTGAGTTCCCTGACTGTCCTTTAATGGCCTGAATTTAGATCGTCAAAGGTCATCTTTGGATTCTCATCTTAACCCTGTCATATCTATTACACAGAAAACAAAAACAACTCTTCAAATGTCATCCGAATGACTTTCTCTTTAAATTTTAAATTAAGGTTCTTCCATCACTGTTGTGTCAAATCTGTAAGCACATGTCTAATTTTCATTAGAGAAGCAGAAACCACAACTCTGTAATTTGTATGTGTGTGGTGGTTATTGTTGCCAGATTCTACATGCCAGCCATTAATAAAAGGACAGCCTGCCCCTGGAAAGCTGAACCAGCCTTCTGCCTCGGGTGCTCGTCAGCAAAAACCCACATCAGCATTCCAGCAGCAGCATTTGAACTTCAGCCAGGTGAGTTCCTGTGTGCTTTTGTAGGCTTGTGGGAGTTAGGCTTAGTGGTTTATTTCCTTTTACCTTATTATTTTAGTTTTTGATTTTGTGTATGTGTGTGGTATGTGGTGTGGGATGAGTGTATATTGAGCAGGATATTGGGGATAATTATGTCATGGGATTCTTTTGGAATTTAATAAAATGGTATGCATGAATTGCTTTACATATAAGTGCTATATATAAATTGTAGGAATTAATAACAGATAACAGTGCTAGCTGGAAGTGGTAACAACTTGTAAGAAGTAGGAAGATATTAATGTGTTTCCTTTTCCTTAGCAAACTAGACTCTGAGAGGTTCAGTGTGAGCTGCCAGTCACAGTCCCTCTGGTCTTTACTTTGATCTCATAGAATGTGCTGTTGAGTCATGTTTTTCTTTGTGATCAGGTTCAGCATTTTGGAACCGGGCATCAAGAGTGGAATGGAAACTTTGGGCATCGAAGACAGCAAGCGTATATTCCTACTAGTGTTACCAGTAATCCATTCACTCTTTCTCACGGAAGTCCTAACCACACAGCAGTACATGCCCATCTGGCTGGAAATACGCACCTCGGAGGACAGCCTACTCTCCTTCCATACCCATCATCAGCTACCCTCAGTAGTGCTGCACCAGTGGCCCACCTCTTAGCCTCTCCGTGTACCTCAAGACCTATGTTACAGCATCCAACTTACAATATCTCCCATCCCAGTGGCATAGTTCACCAAGTCCCAGTGGGCATAAATCCCCGTCTGTTACCATCCCCAACCATTCATCAGACTCAGTACAAACCAATCTTCCCTCCACATTCTTACATTGCAGCATCACCTGCATATACTGGATTTCCATTGAGTCCAACAAAACTCAGCCAGTATCCATATATGTGAAAACTCAAAAACAGTATATTGAGGAAGCTCAATGATATAAACGTTTGATTAAAAATAAAAACATGGTATTTAATAAATATTAGCCATGGCACAAGAAAATTATTTTTGAATCATGTAGACTTGGGTGCAATTTAAACAACTTTGAGCTTTAAAAGAACTCTCACTTTTAATGTGTTTTGCACATTTGGTATAACTTGTCTTTGGTCATGTATCTTCTTACGTAGTAACTCTAGACAGGTGACTTATGGGAGCAGAAGTCCAGTTTTGCTCCTGCTATTTTTTATAAAATTGCCTTCTAACTAGTGCAAGACACGTCCACATTTGGGAAGCCATTCTGTGTCTAGACTTTAGAGCCACAGATGCACATGTGTCAGAATTACAGCATACGAGTGAATTGTACTGTCTGTGTCTTAGTGTGTACATGTTGGGGCACTTAACCTAAGCAATTGAGCTATTGTTCTTTACATTTGCATGTGTCTTTTGCATGGGCAAAATGTTGCCTAGACTTGGCTCTTAATGTTGTTCTAATAATCTCAGCTGCATTGTAAACCGTTCCCACACATAGTGCCTTAAATATTTGAGGTTGTTCAAGTTATTACCTATCTGTAAATGTTGAGGACTGCAGCACTTAAAATTCAGACCTACTCTTTCGTTTCGTTTCCGTAGAGTACTGTTCCTTTTGGCTTCGTGTGGTATGATTTCAGATAGCAGCTGCTTTTTCCTTAGTAAGAGGGCAGCATGTTTGCTACAGCTGAATTCTGCTGTCTGATTTTTTTCAGAATGATCTAGCTTCAAGAAAAGCAAGCAGTTAGTAGTGCTTAAGAAAACTTGATTCAGTAACTAATGGGTAGTTGATATCTGTCACAGCACAGCATTTTATATACTATTAAGTGAAACTGCAATACAACCTAAGTTTATTTTGGGAGTGTTTGCTGTATAATTGGACTTCATAAAATGTTTAGAAGTGCAGTAGGCATGACTTGAGTAGATAATGAAAGAAAATGCAAAATGCTCATTGATTCATGATGTGATTTCATCTTAGCTTGGGCAGACCATGCAGTATTTAATACATAGTAGCAGAATATTTACTATTGAAGCTTGAAAAGATGTGAGTTCTTTGTGTGCAATTTTTCATTTATGCATGTGAGAAGGTTTTTGGTTTTGGTTATTTTAAGTATTTTTACATTGTAGTACTCGTTTTTGCTTGTTGGTGGTGTTTGCTTATTTAATACATTCCGTCAGGGACAGAAATTACATGCTTTTTCTCTTAGGAAGTGTGTATTGGGTTTTCCCCTCCCCCTTCCCCTTGGTGGTGATGGTGGTGATGTTTAAATGAAGTTGCTTTTACAGCACCAAAGACTTAATCATCCATTTCTTATATAAAAGGTAGCTACTTTTTGCATAGACCTCAAGTATATTGTAGTGTAGAGGTGGAATTTAAGGAAAGGTATTAAACCAAGGCTGTGTTTTAGCTTCCAGGCAAGTAATAAATTGTATCATTTATCTTGAATGTATCATAGATAAGCTGCTATATAACGATTGCCACTTCAGATAGCTGTGAAATTAGGTGATTAACTAGTTGTTATTTAGCCTTCTGATTTCTGTATAAGTCTAATTACACGAGATAGAAGCTGGGGTTTTGATTTTTTTACTTTGCTTTTCTGTTTGGAGTGTCATTGTAACTACTGTATTGTAAATGATGGAAACAATTGCCTATGTTATTTTGGGGTGTGTTATTTGCATCAGTATTTTATCTCTATTAATGTTTGTGCTCATCACTGCATATAAAAACTTGGATGTATCAATGTAACTTAATTTTTTATTTTCATACTGGCATTGTAGACACTTGAGAAAGCTGTATCTTGCAGGCTTGACTTAACTTTTTTTCCTTAAAAGTCTGGAATATAATCTTACAGCATTTACTGGAATAAACAGTACAAAACATTTGAGTGTAAAACTCCAAATGTTTTGGATCGACAGCATTTCTTTACTAAGCAAGTTGCATACCACAAGTACAGCTCTAGTACAGCGCTGACGATAAGCTAATGATACATTTTTCTTTACTCCATTGACATAAGCAGTGTTTTATTTAATAATCATATAAGACATAAATGTGCCTGAAGTTGATTTTAAAAAATTACAGTATTAGATCATAAAGTAAAAACCAGCAGCACATTTTTAGTCACTGAAAATGAAGGACTTGATTCCCCCACAAGTTTCAGTGTTTTTAGTAATTGATTCTATGCATTTTATACAAATAAAAATATATAAAACACACATTACAAAAAGGAGTAGACCGAGATTAATTTAGACTCTTTACAGATGACATATTTGTGGAGTCACTATTTAAGTAACTGCTGCTCTTCTCATTTGAGTTACATGGTCCAGCAAGTTACTAAAGTCTGCTCACTCCTTGGAAAAGATTTAGTGCTGGTGGTGGGTGTTTCAGAAACACCAAGTACAAAGATTGTGTCCCAACAGGCACGGAAGTGGCCCGTAAGCTGTGCTTACTGCCCAGAAATGATGCATTTTCTGTGTTAAGTTCATGACTGGAGCAGCCTTGTTAAATGGACAGTAGATGGTAACAGTCAACCTTTTCATACCACAGTAATGCTTTTTAAAGGCATGTCACAGTAAATACACTGCTCTTAATTAATTGCAATCATGGGCTTTTTAATATGTTTCAAAATTTAAAACTTCAGAATCCCCCTGAAGTCCAATTTTAGCATATTGGCAGAAGAATCTGGATTTTACCCTTTTAAAACTATTTTAATAGTTTTGTTTTAATGTTTTCTTAAATAAAACACTGCATGATTTCCAAGTTGCATATTTGTGTGCTAATTTGCAAGTGAATTTTTAATCAGTTATTTTGATATTTAGGTTTCTTTCTTCAGGGTATTAAATATGTTACTCTATTAGCAAAACCTTTTCATTTTAATATTTCTACTGCTAATTTTAAACTTGGCTTGTGTTCTGTAAAAGTTAAATCATACACTGCAAGGTGTAGGAAGATTCATTTTAATGATCCCCTTCTAGATCCAATGACTTAGTTTGAACTGTTAACTGTTGAACAGTTTTACCCTTGTGGCTTTTCTCTTTGGTTTGTTTTTGCTTTACTTCTATGCTACACTAGTTTGCCATGTAGCAGTTGCACTGTGCAATATTACAATAAGGACTGGGAAAATTTTTATGGCTGTAGTGTCTATTACAGTTTGCGATAGTATTTCTCTCTAGTTCTCAGTGATTTAAATGTGACCAAGCCTCTGTACTTTGTCACAAAAAGCGGGTTCTCCAGGTGACTATTTTGGTGAGTGTCAAAATAAGAATTTATGGTGTATTACTGTTGATCCACTTTGAATTAAAATATATATATTGCAGCAAACAGCTTGCTGACTTTTTTTCCACTTCGGTGTTTCGTAAGGGCAGAGATGGGAATGGTTGGCATGACCAAATTCCTTGCGCATTGACATTTCATTTGATGCAGAGAGCCACCTTGTGTGAGGAATTTTGTTAGGTGAACAAGAACATAGTACAACATGTTTGTGTAACATGCCCAAAGTCCAGCTGCTTGTGTGTGTGAACCTGAGGTAGAGCTGGGCTGACCCCGACTAGTCACCTTTTCAGCCTAGCCTGGCACAGTGTGCCAGAAATACCTGAAGCCACAGCATAGCCATGATCCATTTTTCTGGAAAATTTGAGTTTCTTAAATATTTTTAAGGGCAGTATTTCTGTTTGCCATTCATGGATGGAGACTAGGGAAGTCACACGGATTTTTGGAAAGTGTAACATGAGACTTTGAAAGAATGCTAGTTGGCCCGAGCCAGCTTCAGTCAGTGTTCTCAAATGCCACCTCATTCTCAAGGCCTTAACTTTGGACGTGGAACTGTGGGCAGGTGTGTGGGAAACATTCCATTAGAGCAGAGCTGTGACTCAGGACTTCTGTCTTGGTGCTTAGGGTCAAATCCAGAGCTAAGCTAAAACGCACCCGTGAATATATATTTCTCCACAAGCTTTCAATTGAAGTGTAAAGTACATGGGTAATTTAGTGTTTGCTTCTTTCAACATTTTGTTGGTGAGAGTCTTCCAAATTATACATAATTGCATTTAAACTCATGTTTCTATAGTGTTCTTTTGTGTGTATACTGGTTTTGTTGATGGTCCTTTGGAGAAGTTTGCCCTTTTTAGGTATTTGGAATAGTGTTGCTGTGGATGTTACTGTCCATTTTTGGAGAACATATGTAAATGCAGCATATATGTGGAAATAGAATGAATAGATCATAGGGATATACATATGTCACTTCTTTAGACACTACCACACCATATTCCAAAGTCCTGGGATTGGTTTGCACGTGCGGTACGTGAGCATTCTATTGTCTTCTAACCTAGCAGAGCACACACTTTTCTGTGGCTTTAGTTGTTATTGCGAGGTTAGGTTCTTAAAACATAAACAGCAGCAACAACAACAAAAAAAACTGTCACTAAGGTTCAAACACTGATCCTATATTTAGATGAAATCTAGAGTTTGTGATTTTCCTGGAAGTATCCTCAACTTCAGGGAATACCAAGGAGTACTGAGCTATTTAAGTGGATCTAGGGCCGCAGAAGTTTTTGTCTGAAGGGCTTAAAGGGTAACAGCACAGAAATGTCTTTGAGTGCACGTCTAAACCAGTACCCACTACCATGCCTGGCACATCGTAAGTCGTTCAGAATAGGAAATACCTGTGTTCCAAATGCTGGGCATTTGTCGTTGGACAAAGCAGAAGGCCCATTGCCTTACCACACCGTGGTGGGGAGACCAAGTCAGTGCCCAGCCAGGTGGCATTGGAGGTGAACAGAATACTAGCCACACAAGGGGAAAACAGCACAGCAGCTTAACTCGAATATGAGCTTTTAATGTAAACAAAACAAGGATGGTGGGCGGTGATGTCAGAGCTCAGTGCCTGGGTGGGGTGCTGGAGACAGATGAAGCCATTGTAGGGATAGGCATGGAGTAGACTTAATTCCAGACACCGAGAAGCTAGAAAAGGAATTTAGGCAAACACAACCCAATCTGGTTTTTGAAAATTTAATCTGGTTGGCCCGTGGCAAAAAGCTACAGGTCTGAAGACCCTCTAGGGGTGTTGAAGGCCACACGAGAGAGGGAGAGGCATGAGTGCCATGTATTGTGAATAACACGTCTTCTTTTTTCCAAAGATAGCCTCCTTATCCAAGCTGACCTGAACAAACTCTATAGCCCAAGGGGGTCCTATAGCCCAAGCTGGCCTGGGACTCCAGACCCCCTTGCCATGTACCACTATACCAGCTTCCTTTTAGTTTAACACAGTGTTTGGAAGAGTCAAAATTTTGCGTTTGGATAATAAAGCCCAACTTCCACCATTTTCTTCCTTTGTGGTTTTTGCTTTGTGTTTCCTAAGACTTTTTTTTTTAAGATTATGTATATGAGTAATTTATCTGCATGTACAACTTTATGCCAGAAGAGGGCATCAGATCCCACTAGAGATGGTTGTGAGCCACCATGTGGTTGCTGGAAGTTGTACTCAGGACCTTTGGAAGAGCAGGCAGTGCTCTTAACCACTGAGCCATCTCTCCAGCCCCCAAGACGTTTCTTGATTGTGAAGTTTTAAATGCATTTTTCTGTATCCCAGGGCTTTTATAGTTTTATATTAGGCCTCTGGTCCATGCCTTGTAGGTTTTTGTGCCGTTTGTGATGACATTGTCCTATCTTATTGACCCTATGCGTATATATGATAAGTATATCCTAGGAAGTAAAAAATAATATGTTTTCCACCCTAGGAAAAAATCTATGTTGCAATATGGCTGGGAAGTTCAGAGAAACAGGTTTTTAAAAATTTACAGACAAAAGTTTTCAAATAGTTATACATGCAGGCAATTTTAGGTTTCTTCTTTTCCCTTTATTGGTGTGTGTGTGTGTGTGTGTGTGTGTGTGTGTGTGTGTGTGTGTGTCTACGTATGTTGCTTGTATGCATGTGCACACACAAGAGTGAAGCATGTTCCTAATTAGTCTTATTAAATAGAAACCCAGAGTCAGATGTTAGGGTGGAAGCTGATAGATCAAAGAGGCAGAGCAACAGCCACCAGAGACCTCTTACCTCTACAAAATCTCAGACCAGATGGCGTCTGTGTCTGGCTCTGGGTTTTTATTGTTAAGACTAAATAGATTCATGCTTCACAAGAGCATGTGCCACAGTGCACACGTAGCCGTCAGAAAAGCTTTGTGGAGTTGTCCACTCCTTGCACCTTTACGTTGGCCCTGGCGACCAGACTTGGGTCACCAGGCTTGCATGGCAAGTGCCTTTACCCAGTGAGCCATCTTGCTGGCCCAGTTTCTACTGTTTTCTACTTCCAGTTTCTAACAAGGTTTTTGCATGGTTTACAAACCTCCAACATTTTTAATGCCCACGCTTTCAATTTAAAGTGATTGGTTTTGTTCTAACCATTAAAGACAGAGAATACAAAGAACTTGCTTTTGAACTTGCTTTTTTTTTTGGTATGTATGTGATTGTTTCGCTTGTATGCATGTATGTGCACCATGTGCATGCCTAGTACTCTGTAGAGGCTAGAAGAAGGTGACATGTTCCCTGAACTACAGTTCCAGATGGTTGTGAGCTGCCATGTTGGTGCTGGGAAGGGAGCCTGAGTCCTCTACAAGACTCTTAACTGATGAGCCCTCTCTCCAGCCCCACCTTTTCCTTTTACAAATAACAGTATTTTAAGGCAGCACTTTGGCCCCTCATCCCTTTATCCAGTCTGTCTCACTGACTGGAAACTCTGTATTGAACCGTTTTTATCTTGTAGACTCTCTACCTTTGACATTTGCTTTATGCCAGACTTCAGTAGGTACCAGAATATTTGCTAAGTAAATAAATAAATAAATTTGGGACTGCAGAGATGGCTCAGTGGTTAAGAGCACTGGTTGCTCTTGCAAAGACCCTGGGTCAATTCCCAGCACCCACATGGCAGTGGTTCACAACTGCCTGAAACTCTTCCAGGAGAACTGACTCCTTTTTCTGGCTTCTGAAGACGCTGTATGCAGGTGGTGCATAGATGGACATGCAGGCAAAATGCTCATACATAGAAATGCATTTTTAAGGGAGTGAGTTTAACAGCGATCTGTTGAATGGAATTTGGAGGCCTACATTTAATCTGTCTCGCCATTTTGGTTATTGAGTATGATTTTGAGCAAGTTTGGGCTTCAGTTTACTCTGTTAAGTGGAGGAGCTGGGGCTTACAAACTCGAGCAACAGTGACTGAGCTGACTGGGCTGAGGATGTGAGGAAAGAGACACCGACAGGATGGCAGCGTGGAGAGAAAAGTCTAGGTCCCAGGGTCAGCAAGTACACGGCACGGCAGACCCATGAGCAGTGCCTTCTAGTTTTTCAATAAGACAAATGTTGGCAACGAATTCAAAACATAGTTTAAAAATGCATAGCCCAAACCACGCAAGTTGCTCCAGTCTGGGCGTCCAGTTTGGTGGTTGGTCATTCTGTTCAATATAATGCGATGCTCCATACTGGCCGGTAGGGGGAGGAAGAGTTCTCTAAAAGTTTGTTCCGTACTGTCTAAAACAAAGCAGAACTGAGGGCAGTGTATCTGGTGTCCCATGGGCAGTATAGTCCAATGTGAGGGGTTTTTTTGTTGTACAAATAAAGTTTTAAAAACTGACAGTACTCCAAGTATATTGAAGGAAGACATCCTGTGTTTACCCATCCCTCTTCCACCATAAACCTGCCACAGAGCCAGAAATACATAGATTAATTTGTCTCCCGCAAAGGAAATAAAACCTAGGATTTGGCAGCTTTGGAAGGAGAAAAGAATCATTTATCAAAACCTAGATTATCTCCTTTTGCTTCACCCCCAGTTTTTAACATTTCTTTATTTCTAAGAAGAATGAAAAGGCCCAGAGACACCGCAGTTGATTCATAGTAACAGAAAAAAAAAAAAAGGTTTTATAGTTTTGCCCCTTTAGACACACTTTCTGACTATGTCTTCTGTGTTGAGTAGATTTTTACTGACCCACCGGGAAGGGCAGGAAGGTGTGTGCATATGCATTTTCTGCTTTTCTATAAGTCAATATAGAGAATGCTTAGCACATAGTGAGTACTTACACTTTATAAATTCCATATTGGTTCTCATAGGCTGGAATCAAAGGAGGTTGCATTTTGCCAAACTCGTATATGTGTGTGTAGCCGAAGACTATAATCCAGCCATAATTTAAAAAAAAAAAATTGAGCTCGAGGATTTCATTACTAGCTGCTTCAACAGATCTGGTTTAAATGTTATTGATGAACAGGTATAGTTAGGGCATAAATGTTTGTGCCCCGCCCCTAAAAGGCTGAAGTGAAACAGAGTCACAGTGTAACATCTCATTCATAAATGACATGAGTGAGTTCTTTGTTCTGATGGTTGTCAGGTACTAAAACATGCCTCCCTTATTTCTTCCTGTTCACAATGTGCAGCTGCTAAGGAGACCTAAATTGAATTTACATTAATGGTTTCTCCAACACTTTTTATTTTCTGTCTGTCTGTCTGTCTGTTCATCTTCTATCTGTCCATCCTTCTATAATCTATCACCTACCTACCTACCTGTCTAAGTTCTTGCTGTGTAGTCTAGACTGGGCTTGAATTCACACACCTCTTGCTTCAGCCTCCTAAGGGCTGAAATTACAGGCATATGTCAGGTTTATCAACACTCTTAATTCTAGACAGTCAACAAAAGCAGCCTGTTCAAGTGTTTGCCAGTTCATAGGGTAAATACTTCCGTCAGGCACCATTTCAAGCCGCTTGCCTGATATCATTGGACATGAAGAGAGACACAGCATTTAATAGAGATCCAACAGACAGAAATAATGTCGAGCATGGAGATAATAGAATGTGTAGCCCAACTAGGAAGCAGAAAGTGTTGCGTGCAATTAGTCCCCACAACGTTGTAACCAATAGAGGAAAATTACAATTGTTTCATGGCCTTTAAGCTTTTGCATGAAGGTATTAAAAAGTCTCCCGTCATTAGAGAAATGGAAGAAGAGCAAAGTGAAGTTCATGTGTAAAACATTGCCGTAGTGAAGAGTGGTCTACCCAATAACTCTCCTCCATAGGTGACACCTTTCCCATCTTTGACAAATGGGCATGCTCCTGACTAAGTGTGGATGAGATTCCTGCATTTTGTGCTAGTGCTTTTGTTATCATGGTTGTCTGGGAGTTCCTTCAACATGAATTCCCTCCCTATTGCTTCCTCCCTAGGATATCTTTGTGTGTGTGTGTGTGTGTGTGTGTGTGTGTGTGTGTGTGTGTGTGTGTGTGTGAACCACTTTGCTGGTGTGTGTTGATAAATTTGTCCTTCCTGAGTCCCCCAGATTTATCTGAATAATATGAACAGCACATGCCAACATTCCCACCATCAGCTACTAGTTCTCTGAGTCCATTTACCTTGTGGTCCAATGTCATTGCTTCTGTTATCCCTTTTCATTCTTTGCCTCCCTTCATCTTTGCTAGACAAGTCTCTCTTCTCTGTCTCTCTCTGTCTCTATCTCTCTGTCTCTGTCTCTCTCTCTGTCTCTCTGTTTCTCTCTCTCTCTCTCTCTCTCTCTCTCTCTCTCTCTCTCTCTCTCTCACTCATATGTACGTGTGTGGTGTGCACAGGCCCTTGTAAGGGCAGAGGCCTCCCTTCCCCTCCCCCTCTCTCCACTTTATTTCTGTATATAAGGTTTCTCACTGATCCTGAAACTTACCATTTTGGCTCTTCCTCTTTCCATTCCCTACCCCACTTCCAATGCTGGAATTGTAGGTACACACAACTTTGCCCAGCTTTTATGTGGTTGCTGGGGGTTTGAACTCATGTCCTCCACAGCAAGTGCTCTTACTACTGAGCCACCTCCCCAGCTCCTGATTATCCGCTTTTGTAAAATGTTATGTAGGCTTGTTGCTCTGGAAGACTGAAAGGTAACCCAACTACACACTTTGCTGTCTGCGTGGACTGAATGACAGATGAGCAATGATTAGTCACTGAAAGTCTTTGAAAACATAATGTGACTGGCCACTGTTCATGAGGCATGTGTATTAGTGATTTGTAGACTGAAGGGTTAACAAAGTTTACTTATGTAGCCATTGACACTTATTATGCTGTGACAACTAAAAGTGAATCTGTATTATAGACAAATTAGTGTTATTTAGCTAAATGGTGGTAAATGAAATCCATGCACGCTGGAACCATGGAATGTTCAACCATGCCTGTGTCAACAATTGATTTTTAATGGCATTTAATTGTAACTTTTGTAATTTGATTTAAAAATAATGACTGTGTTTAACCGTAGCTCACAAAATTCCTGAAACTTTAGTAATTAGCTCTCACAAGCTGGTATGAACCACATCCACCCATCTCTGCAGAAACCCATAAAGCATTTAGCGCTTAACCACTGATGTCCGTAACTCAAGTTAGGAAGCGTGGGGCTGTGACTCCAGTTCACCGGAAGGATGCTGTAGCCTGAGCCATCAGGCCAAGGTTGATATTCTTTAAGCTCTCCTCATAACGTGCATTCAGATAACCAAAACAATTATAATAATACCACAACCGTATTGTATAGCTCCTTGGTTTTCGTAAAAAGAATGTCTGACAGCTCAATGACTTTTCATTAAAAGATTAATTTTTGACTACACTGTGTCTGTTCTTTCATTAGTCTACGTTGGCTGACTGTACTGTGGTAGCAAATGACTCCAGAGTTTCAGGAGTTGAAAACAATAATCCTATCTAGTGGTTCAATTTGATTCCATCTCTAGGGCAACTCTGTTGCTAGCTACAGATCCGTCTGTATACAGCTGCAGTCTTGTTCTTTTTTAGGACTCTGGCTGGAGGTTAGGAGTTCCTTACCCTGGAGTTAGGACTATAGGACATGCTTCCCCCATGGAAAGGGACAAAATAGGGCTGGATCTTGACATGATCCTCCTTCCCTCCCTCCCTCCCTCTCTCCCTCCCTCGCTTCCTCCTTAGACTGGGTCTCACTTTGTAACTCCGGCTGCCCAGAGAACTCCCTGTGTAGACCAGGCTGATCTCAGAGGTGGCCTGCCTCTGCCTCCTGAGTGCTGGGATTAAAGGCACCCGGCTTTAACACTGCTCTCACAGTGGCTCCTGTGGTGTGCATTGACTAAAACAACGGACACGGGGAAGGGAGGATCAGCAGTGCATGGCCCACAGTCATGGTGGGGAACTACATTGTCCTGTAGGGGGAGAGAAGAAACCACCCTGGGTTTGTTCTTGTGAGGAGACAGGAAAAGCTTCTCAAAAGCCGCCCAAGTCCAGGAACTTCATTGTAAAGACATTCCTTGGTTAAGCTAAAGCATGTTTTGTGTTACTCAAACGTGTGCTGTATCAGTCAGCATCGGTATCACGTGGAGTTTGTTAGAACAGAGATTCTGGGTGAACTCCCTGGGTCACCTGTGTGTACTTGAATGCTTGGGACACTCGGACCAACCCGGCAGATGTCTGCTCAGGTGCTCTCAGGCGCTTGTTCTCTCTTCCTCTGCCCTTTCTGCATTCTCAGATACACGGCTCCTCGATTCTCTCCCCGCTTCCTCCCCGCTCCGCTTGGCATCCCCAGCGGCCACCGTCTAAGCCAGCCCAGTTCTTCTCTCCTCCACCCTCCCCACCTGGCCTTGGCTCACACCTGGGAACTGTGTCATGTGACGGACTTCCTGTCTCCTTATCCACCCCTGCTTCCCCACCTCATTACCTGCCAAGTGATCTCTCTAGAATTCAGTTTTCATCCATTTAGTAGCAGTGGAGATGACAAGAAATTTGGAGCAGGGAAGAGGTGATGTACAGTGTAGGTCGAAAGAGAGCTCTGCCTATCAAAATCAGCCTCAAGAAAAGTCCTGACCAGTCTCTCCAAAGCTCAGAACTCTTGACGTTCAGCTTTCGGCTTACTGTCCAACTCTGGGGAGGTCACCAGCTTCCCTATGATATGTCTTCTCTCAATAAAACTCGGGGTTCCTTGTACAGAATGGCTACATTAGCAACCGATGGATTTGTACTTCTGCATCTCTGCATGGTGGAAATGCCCTCTTTCTCACCCTCATCTTGTCTGCTTGCCAAGGCTCCTCTCCAGTATCCTTTGCAAGCCTTGCTTGACACTGGAAGAGATCAAATCCGTGTCATCTCACCTATTGCATAAGTGATTGCTTCATACTTTCATCCCTCCCTTGCTGTCTTCCGAGACCTCCAAGGATATGGATTTTTGCCTAACTCATGTTCAGAACCCCAGAGACCATCATGCTCAGCATATTAGAGACAATCCAGGTTGTTTCATGAATGGAGTGAAGATCAAAATGATGGCTCAGGCAGCCATTGTGAGGAAATGATAAACATGGTTGGGTTAGTATACACAGAGCATCTATTGTCAGACACTTACCTGGCACTCTGGAATGAAAAGCGGCATTAAGATTTGCCTCTTGCTTTTAAATGGATGCTGGATTCCTCTAGTTCCAGATGCATTAATCAGATCTTCTAAAACAGACGTGTGTTGGCAAATGAAAGGGAGTGCTGGTTGTTTCAGGTGATGACATTTATTGCTGATGTGCTAATATCCTTGTTCGGATATGTATGTATTTTTATAATATACTTCTTAATGACCTTTCAAAAGAGGTAGTACTTTACAATGAAAATTTAAGTACAAAATCTCTTTCCTTTTTATGTGCTCGAGAAAGAATTATGTGACAGCATCTAAGATTTATTGAGTCTCTTCTGCCAGGTCCAGCTTTTGTTTTGAACAATTTTATTAAGACATGATTTATGAGGCTGGGGATGCAGCTCAGTGGTAGAGCCCTCATATGGTATCTGAGAGGCCCTGGGTTCAGTCCCCAATGTATCTCCAATAGAATTTATATGACAATTTTTAGGACACTTACAGAATGATGTAACCTGCACCACAATCTAGTTGAGAGTATTTCTATCCCCCTAGAGTGAACCTTTGTACCATATCGCCACTTAGTGTTTCTAATCCCTTGGTGTCAGGAATCTACTTTTGGTCTCTTTGGCTTGCCTTTTCTGGACACTTCATATAACTAGAGCCATAGACCGTGTAGCCTCTGTAATTGGCTTTTTTCACTTGGCACAGTATCCTCCAGGTTCCTTGGTGTGGTAGCACATAACAGTATTCTCCTGTTTTTTCTCACCGAGGAAGAACGTTCTGTTGTACCAAACTTGTTTATCTTTTCACCAACTGATAGACATTTAGGTAGGCTGTTTCCACTTTTGACTGTTATGAATAACGATGCTATAAGTATTTAAATGGAAATATTTGTGAGGACAGATGCTTTTATTTGTCTTGGGTAGATACCTTGACATCTTTGGTAGACACTTGGACACCTTGGGTGTACTAAAGCTAAGAGCTAAGGGGTGATGGACATGGGGCTTGAAGCTGGTTGAAAATCACTAACATTTCCCTAACTAGTCCTAGTCCCTACCCCACAGGGCTTGACAAAACAAACAAATAAACCAAAACAAAGAAACCAAACAAAGAACCAGGGAGCTAGAGATACAGTAAAAATTAGTTGGCCTCAGAGTGTCAATGTGGAGAGGGGGGTGACCATGTCTCTGCTCTGACTGGAGAATCCCAGAGGCATCAGAGATATTATCAAGACAAAAATGACCCTTGAAGACTTCAAAAGAAAGGACAGGCTATGCTGTCTCCTCCCACTGGAGGACTTAGAGGATAATTAGCTAGAACCTGGGGGAGTGGAAACGTCAACCAGAAGTTAAGTTCAAGTCAACAAATATTGAGTTGCTAGGCTTCTGTGGAGGCCCTCTGTGAGGACTAAATTGAGACTCACCCACCTGAAAGTTGGCAGCTGCTCCTGGTGGGCGTTACCAGGGTCTTGCTCTGCCTGCCTGCCATCTCCGGCCTTGAGGCTGAAACCTGGGAAGCTTTTTAGAGACATGGGTGGAGATATCAGAGGAAAGGGAAACCAAGATGGCCTGCATTTCTGCAGCACCCTCCTCGGGCCTCACCCTCCTTCAGTCCATTCTACACAGTGGGTGGGGTGGGGAGTGACCCTCCCTCCATAATTCTTTGATTGGAATTCTCCGATCGCTCCCCACTGCCCTCATTGCTAATTCAACTGTATCTTTTCACCCTCCCAGGCAGTTCTTTCTACAAGGTACCCACAAAGCTGTATTAAGTACTTTTCTCAGGGCCAGGCCAGTGAGATATAGGAAGGGCCCTGAAATACACCTTCTCAGTTATATCTAGTATTTTCTTAGGGGCATTAGAAGCAAGAGAAACCACATATACGTTTTATTTTAAATTCCTTCCATTCTTGGAGGAAGTGAGCACCATAAGCCTCACAATCTTGTGGTGTCTAGGGTCTTGGGTCTTATGACCTCTGTAGAAATGGCTCCTTATTAAAAAAAAAAAGAGAGAAAAGAAATCCTTACCATTTTAAACAAATATTTTATATCTTACTTCTATTTTGTGCATATGGATGTCTTCCTGCATGTATGTGTGGGTATCATGTATGTGCTGGGTTCCTCTGGAAGCCAGAAGGCATCAGGTCCTCGGGAACTGGAGTTACAGATGGTTGTGAACTGCTAGTGTGTGGGTGCTGGGAACCAAACCCAGGTCCTCTGAAAGAGCAGAAAGTTCTCTCAACCCCTGAGGCATCTCTCCAGCCTCCCTTTCATTTCTTAAAAATGAAGACTCTGAGTTATTTTAAACATATCCTATGGCCCTAAAGGGTACCATGGCTTAAAAGGATAGGTTTTGGCTCCCCATTAGAGGGCAAATCCCTTACACACCCCTCCAGCCTCTTCTCTTGGCACTCTGCTCCCCCTCTGCTCTGAGCAGGGGTATCATCCTGTGGTTGCTCATCTGCGTCACTGGACCTTCAGTGCTGAGCCCAGTGAGGGTGGAAACAAGGCTTAGCTTTCTGCAGACACCTGAGTTTAGAACTCACCTGGTTGCAGGAAAGGATTTGTGAATTGAACTGGAAGGCATGCTGGTGTGAAATGGATGACTTGGGAAGCAACAGCTGCTTCTTGCAAAAAGAGGTCTAGATGTGTGCCCCAGAATAATGACAGAAGTTCAGTCCAGGGCCTGAAATCACTGCTCAGAGATGGAGATGGAGTCTTATGCCTCCCTAGCTTCTTGAACTAACACTTGACTCTTTAAACAATAAACTTAACACACAAGGAAGTCCCAAAGCCCCGGTTAAGAATACTAAAATGAAATACAAGGGTTTATGGGTTAAGAGGGTTGTGATTATCATATAACTTATAATAAGATTGATTGAGCACTTACTGTATGTCAAGTGTACATCTAAATGATTGGCATGTATCAACTCAATCCTTAAAACAGTCCCATCTGGGAGTTACTTGGATCATTTCAGTTTTATAGATGAGGTTTACAGAGATGTGATTTTCTCAGTCATTAGCTAGTAGAGGACAGATCTTAAATGTAAATCAACATAAAGGTTTGGTTTGTCTATTTACCAAACAAGGACTCATCAATCAAAAATTTAAACAAAATGCCATGGTAACTCATATCTGTAGTTTTAGCACCCTGGAAACCGAGGCAGGAGAATTGCTATGATTGGTGCCAGCCTAGGTTAGATTACCCAGTGCATTCTGAGTCATCATGGGCTATGCAGGAAGACCCTGTCTCAT